TTTACCCTTCCTCTGTTCAAATACCAGTTATTCCATTAAGCATCTTTTGATCTTCCCAGTTAGAAGCCACCTCTCTCTTCAAAACATTCAGAGCCTTACAGTACTTCCTCATTTTGCCTTCCACTTCTCAATGCTTAATCTAGAGACAGGACTCTGACAAACGACTTACCTCTCTTCTTCCCACTTCCTCCAAATTATCCCAACTAGTGACCACCACTCAGCGGTGTTATGTGAATGTTTCTCACATGTCATGTCTAACTTTGACTGCAGACATGAGGGTTCATCAGAATCATGTAAGTATACCACGAAGTCTCAAGAATTTCATTGTTCACAGAATATTTATTTTTTCCCCTAACATAGATGAGATGTACTCCTGAATCAACACATCCATGATCTAATATGCTAGTCTCTTTCAGTGAAGTTCTTGAAGTTTCTCAGCTATACTTGTGGTGTGCTTTGAGTCTCTCAAATTTTGAGTATCTAAAATGCTACTGGGGATCTCAAAAGAAACAAAAGAAAAAAAAAGGCTCTGAGCAATTAAAAAACTCAATTTCATCAATTTTACTCCTGTATCTTCATTTAAGATCTGTTCATTCTTACTTGAGACAAAATTCTAACATGGTTATCTGTTTTCTCTACCTGCAGCAAATTAGTAGTAACAAGTTATAAATACGGAAGAGAAGTGGCACCTAACACTGAGGGAGGAGATAGAGAAACTATGAAATTAACAGACAAGAAAACTCTTTTTTTAAAAAAGCACTATCATCTAAGAAATTTCAGGACACAGGCAAAATCCTTTTGACGGTATTTTACTGTAGTCTTACACTATCAAAATGAGTTCTTAAATCACTAATTACATCATCATCAATATAAACTGCTGAAAAGGCAGGAAAGTAAATAATATATTTTAGACAATTTTTTATCCAGCTGGATAAAATATTCTAGTGCTTACAGGAATGAGTGTCAGTCATCTGGAAATTTCATTGACAGAGGAGATATTTTTGCCAACCAGACAGCTCTATGTTATTGTGCCTTTTCCCCAAGGAAGGCCAAATAATATAAAAAATTAACTTTTTCAAGGATCTGATATCCCTGGAAGGGGAGGAAGTGTTATCATCAAATGCTATATAAATTCTTAGAGGAAAATAAAAGTTAAATTACTTGAAGTTTACCTTATGACCAAATACAGAGCCCAGTTAAGAATGAAAGGTTTTCAACTCTCAACCTTGAACTTTATACAAACAAGTTACTGATAAAATCAGATGGCACCTTTTTAACATACAGAGTATTGATGTTGAGAGGAAGAAGATTCTAGGTAGTGGGGATAAGACGACTACTTTTTTGCCCCATGTCATCTCTCCTCCCAGATCAGATTGCTGGAGCAGCGTCCATGGGGTCTCCTGTCCTTTGTGCTACAACCCAACGAGTGGCATGAGGCTAGCAGTGGACACGCCAGGAACACTCTGTACCATCTACAGGCCCTGCTATCACTCAAAGGTTGAAAGAGCCACCAAAGACCTCCTCAGACTCTATGTGTACCCACACTAATATAAACTATACCCCACCCCTGGATTCAGACAGAGCTGCGGCTGAGTCCTGGCAGGACGCTTTTCTCTCAGTTTCCACCCATAAGATGAAAGATGGGACTAGACTGTCTCTAAAGCCCACTTCAGTTCTAAGATCCTATGAGTCTTAAGTTACGTTTATTATTTTAAGTCACGGCAGCTACTATTTATAGTTTTCCAACTACCTATCTTTTCAGGCTTCTTTTCAAAGCCTTTATTCTGGACATTATTGTCAAAATATATTTAGAAATTCTGTAATTCTACATACCAAATTTGCATAAAGAAACAAAAAAGATTTAATACCAGATTTTTAAAAAGAATGATTTTTTTTGTATTAAAATATAGGTCAGACAATATGTTTAAAATATATGAGTCTCTTAAAATGATTTTAAAACTGAAGTTTTCTATAATTAGTTACAAAAACATTGCAAAGAACTGAAACAAAATAAAACCAAATAAACCAGCTACTAAACCATACATATGTCCTCAAAATCTTATGGGAGTCAAATATTCCAGTAAAAATAACAGAAAAGATGGAAACACAAGTTTCTTATTATCACACTTCATATGTTATAAAACATAACAGCTAACTTATTTTTGGCAAAATGATTAGGGATTGCAACACTCTGGCTTACACAAACTTATTTGATTGTCAAATGCATCTTAAATGGAGCGTGTCATGCTAACTTCAGGCATGCAGGCACTCTGCCGTCTTAGAGTAGCCCAGAGACACTGAAATTTCAACACTTCAGCAAGGATCATACCACCAATATTAACTGGGCCAGGTGTTTAAAGAGGGCTGAGGGGACTTCAACAATGTAGTTAATTGAAACCAGAAAAAGCTTTTGAATAATAAAAAAGAAAAATCATACAGATGTTTACCTTCCTCCCGGGTAATATTTATGGACAATTTATTGCATGCATTATTTTTTAGAATACACACTTTCAGGAAAACACAGTTTCACATGTCTTTTTGAAAATTCTATAATCACAGTATGAGTTATGTCTCCACAAACTGACTAAGTTAAGCTCATGTTTCATCCTCCTTTTCCCTTCCACAACTATTCTTGTAAGGGCAAGAACACTGGAAAGTAGAGTATTAATTAGAAAATTATAAAGCTGACGAAGCTCTAAGAAGTACATTAACTTTAAGAGGCATTGTCCTTCTTTCCCAATACATATTGTGACAGCAAGCCAAGAGAGATGAGTTCAAAACAAACGTGTTTCAAATATGTGCAAGTGAAACAATCTATTACATAAAGGATGGATGTGGAACAAATAAACAAAAACCAAAATGACAGATTTGTGATTAAATTAATAAACTGTGAAGGACTCAGAAATGCGTCTTTTCTTCCCTATGTTTATAGAATAGTGTATTCATCAGGGTTCTCCAGAGAAACAGAATCAATAGAATATATACAGATATATGTAGATATAATCTATATATCTATATGAGATTTATTACAGGAATTAGCTCATGTGATTATGGAGGCCAAGAAGTCCCACAAATGCCACCTGCAAGCTGCGAATGAGGAAAGTTGGTGGTTAACTCAGTCCAAGTTCAGAGGCCTGAGGCCCAGTGGAGCTGATGTGATATTTCCCAGTCTGAGGCTCCCACTGGTGCAAGCCTTGGGGCCTGAAGGCTTGGGATGCAGAGCCCCAATGTCTGGCTAGATCCTAGGCCCACAGAAACTGTGAGGAAATGAATGGGTATTGTTTTACACCGTCAAGCTTTGGAGCACTTTGTTACACAGCTGTAAGTAACTAATGAAGTAGTTAACATAATGATTGAGCCAGTGATTCCACTGTCACTTCCATAATCATAATAATACCTAATACCTATAGGGAAATTTTAAATTCTAGACACCATTCTTAAGTCTTTATATAATTCCTCACAAAAATCCTTTGAAGAACATGTTATTATCCCCATTTTACAGATGAGGCAAACCAGAGGTACAGAGAGGCTTAGTGACCTGTCTGTGGCCACACGTGCATGACAGCAAGTGTCTGAACCTCGGTGCCTTGGCTCTGGAGCTGGGGCTTGCCGCAGCAACTGTGCAACCATGGCGCGGCAGGGCTCATGAGGTGCCCTGTAAAAACGGTGCCTGGTGACATGGCACAGAGGAGATTTAGAAAGCACAGAAGAGATTAGAAGCCATGCAAAGTGGTAAAAACAAAGTCTAATTTCTGATTAAGATGCTTTACCTAGGGGGAAAAAGGGCATAAGTAAATGGAGTTCAATTTTGAATTTGAATTCACACTTAGAAATGAAAAAATACATTTTTTATACTCAATAAGAGAAAATTAACAACCTCCATTCGGTATTAAAAACCACAACCAGGGAGGACACAATTGTATTTTTCCTAAGGGTAATGGTGAGTAAAAAGTAAGTGTGTCAAGATGGTAGGAAGAGGAGCAAATTCCTAGTGAGCTCCGAGACTCCACTGGAGATATTTTATCACATGAAATAAGAAAACTCAAAATCCTAGAATAGAGAGGTTTCATGAAAGAATCACTTCCTATCATGTATTCAGGCGACCAGGTTGAAGAGCATTCCTTCATAGTCCCACACACCCTGTACTTACACAGGACAGTAGTTACACACCTACTGGGTAGTTTGTCTCCTCCATTAGACGTCAGACTCTAGTATGTCAAATACTGTCATATTCACTGGGATGTCTTCAAAATATAGCACAGGGCCTGACACATGGCAAGAACTTTGTTGGATGAAGAAATAATTTGTGTTGTGAACTGCATCCATTCAATGGGTCATTTCAATGGTATATGTTAGTGAAAGGACAAGGTTTTGTTTTGTTCTGAAGTCTCCTGTAGTGCACTGGCTTTCCTGGGCACATTAGGTAGGTCTCAGTGTCTCCAACGTCTCACTTAGTATCTGGCGCACAGTAGCACCCACTAGGTAAGGGAATGAATGAAGGAGTGTCTCAAAAAAGGCTGCCAAGCTACAGAACTGGTAAACATGCACACTTATGACTAAATATTCAGTGTTCCATAAGGATGACTGCCTATCGATGATGACGACGGTAAAATTTTCTTCCTTTTGAAAGGAGGTATGAGCATTTGCAAAACACTCTCCCAATAGATTCTTGTCTAGGTCTCAGCTGAGGAGTACTCTTAAATATTCCTTCATAAAGACAAATTAGATGTAATTTAAAATTGCCAGAAAACCCTGGATTAAAAGGCATTCATTTGGAAATTCCTGCCTTCTTCAGTATTATTTTTTGAAATATTACAGAAACTGCATGAACACACATTCAGAGGCACACAGTAATATGGAGATAAGGGTAAAGGCAGCTACCGAGTACCTCTCTCTCTTCTACTTACCAATTAAACAAGAGACAAAAAAGGCAAGGAAGGCTGAGGGGGATCTGTGCAAGTCCCTACAAGCACCCACAAGCACTCCGGAGGCGTACTTACTGAGAGCTCAGGGGCACGCTTCAGAATCTGAAGGGAAATGTAGCCGCCTATTGAATGGCCAATGACCACAAGTTTCATTTTCTTTGGCACATGAGTTCTCAGGAAAGCTAGTTTGTGTTCTACTTGACCCTGGAGTCCATAGATGTCCTTAATTTCTTGAGCATTTGGATCTAAAAGCAAAAATATGAGCATGTTTTTCATTCAGTAGGTGAAAGTAACAAATTCACTGGGAAACACATCTTAAAAAATAACATTATTTTTTGAAACAGTAACAATAGTAGTAGTTACCATTTAAAGCCTGCAACGTACTATCTACTTTTATTTAAGTTATACCAACCAATCCTCACAACAACCCAGACAGGAAGTATCTTCATTTTATAGATGAAAATCGCTAAGTTCACAGACATTAGGTGATAGACTGACAGTCCCAAACCTATTAAGTGGGAGAGGCAAGATTTAAATTCAGGTATTACTGTTGACTGAAAATATGAACTGACTAGACAACCTCTGAGGATCCTGCCAACTCTAATATTCTGTAAATAGAGAAAATGTGAATAGATATTTTCCTATGAATATCTGTATATATTCCCATGAATAGGAATATACATATACACACATATATACAAATGCAGTAACAGGATGTAAAATTCAAAATGTCACAAAGTAGTCAATTGCTTTCTAAAATTTGAATCATGGGAATACTGAATTTCTTGCCTTTATGACTCCTGCAAGATACAGATGCAAATTATAATGAGGTACAATGTGGCTCATTTAAAAAGTACCTAAAATCCATATGAACTACCGCTCTTGCTTTTTAACTGGACGTGCTGCTTTCACTTCTTTAAGGGCTCAGCTTTCCCTGTCAGTCTGGCTGGCTCCTCTTCATCCTTCAAAGTCTCAGCAAGTGTGATCTCTGAGAAGCCTTCCCATGACTCGGTAGGTAACGAGTAAAAGCGGCCTTCCTTTCTGTTCCCACAACATCCCATGTTCGTCTCACCACACTACTCCTCATTCACTCTTACTTTGCAGTTCATGTTTTGCTTACCTCTGTTCACCAATGCCTGGCATAGAGTTATTGAAGTACTTTTTACTGAATCAGTGAGGCTTAGTTCCCTATTTCTGTGGTACCACTGATTTCCCAGGGAAGATGTGTTCTCACCTAATTTTCCTTCCCAGGTCAACCTAGAATTTATTCCCTATTTAAGAAGGAAGTTCAGCATAAAACAGAATTGGGAAGAGAGGGAATCTGGAAATTTGACTTTGGCTGGGCTTCTGATGGCTCTGAATCCTAATTTTTATTTAATATTATATTTAAGTTTGAGTAGCTTATACTTTTCCACTCTTACCTTCTCTGATAACTCTACCCACAAGTGATTATGTTGTTCTCTGATACTAAAAAACAAACACTTATATTTTCAACCCAAGTTCTTTATTCAATTTTTTGAAATACACAGCACTTGAAAATGTTGAAATCCTCGCTTCATTGGGACAGTGTGGTGTAGTATAAAGATCACGGGCATTGGAGACAAGATAATCTGGACCTAAATCCCAGATGAGCACCTTGCTGACTGCATGAGTTGGCAAATCCTTTAACTTGGCTTTGGTCTCCTCATATGTGACAGACATAATAATTCTAGCCCCTTAGGAATTTTTTTGCACAACACATTAAAGCGCTTAGCACAAAGTGTCTGACGTAAACTGAGATATGAAAAGTTGTGATTGTTATTATCTCAATTTCTGTCATTTAAGTCCTGCCACAAATACACCAAGAACATCTACATGGTTAGAACAAAGAAAAGAAATTGATACAAATGCAATGAACACTTTAAAACTTCACTGACATCAGAAATAAGGTCCTGAAAGAGTAAATTTCAGATGAACTTTAATGAATATTATAATTCAAATGAATATTTAAGAGGTAAATCTGGCTTTACCTCTGGGAACTGCTCAGATTTCAAAGAGAAAAATAATACTTGTTAGTGTTTGCTGAAGTAATGAGATGAATGGGGAAAGTACTTTCTGTTAATAATCTATGATAGAAATTTAAAATATGCTACCCGGACATTATTTTACAAGCAAAAAGTAAAGGTTAAAAGTCTATCTACATACATAACTATGTATTTTCATGCCTATTATTATTTTAATGTACTCTGAAAAAATGCTAGGAATCTTTAACTTATTCTCCATAAAATTCAGTAAAAAAATTACACTGAATTATATCAAAATCAGAATAATAATAATAGGGAAATGATTTATACCACTCTTTCTATAGGGAAAATGTACTCCAAATTATAATCAACTAAATACATTTAGAACACAATCTTGTTTCCAAACTGAGAATTGCTTGAATTGATAGATGTTATTCCAATATGCTATATCTTTGTCATTATGTGGTCCCAAATATGATATTGATAATTTCCTTTTCAGTATCTGACGTTATTTCTTAGACCCATTTCTTTGAAATTCACTTTATAGCTACTTTATTGATTCAAAAGGTTTATTTCAAAAGATATATAATCTGTCCTAAGTAGTTAATAGAGAAATTCAGTAGTATTAGCAGTTGACATTTCCTTTTCATCTGGTTGGTCAAATTGATTAATCCAGTTAGTAAAATTCTGTCAATTTTGAATTGAAATATTATTCATCCTTTATAGCTTCACAACACAGGTAAGTATGACAACTATAATTTCCTTCCATTTCACATGAACTAAACTAACTACCCTGACAGAAAACAGTGATCAACAGGCCCCTAGTAAAACAGAAGTAAATAAAAATGCAATCACAAAACACTGAAGTAATATGATTGAAGCATTTCTTTGAGAAGAGAAAGGGTTTCACTGATCACAAATGAAAGGTAATGCTCCTCTGGATTCATAAAAAGTATTGTACCCTTCTCCAAGTAACCTAAGATGAACTAGAAAATATTCTTTACTACATGCACATTATTATAAATGTGTAACTTGACATATTTGAAAACAATCATAACACTCTACATTTAGTGATATATATTTACCACCTGCACTTATATAACATACATCTAACATGTATGTCTATGTATATCCAGGTATATATTGAATAAAAATGCATACGTTTTACTATATATTGTCACACAAGCAGTATTGGACAAGTGATCTATGACCACAGAACTAACAAGACTGCAGATGAGGGTCACTGAGGCTTTTGCTAGGACTGAGTCTGTACACAGTAAATCTCAACCTCACATCAGAATTTTCTGAGCTAGGAAGCTCTTCCATCCTGCCCGTCATTACTACACAGCTGTATCTTAACACTAGCTTTAATTAAAAATATGCAAGTGGAGATTAAAAGGCTAAACGTAGCACTTCATATTTTAAAGAATGCTCTGAGTAAGATGAATGTACAGTTTACTCTTTGGACGAAATTTTTAAAACACAAAACAATATCATGTTGTTCATCATTACATATATGTAACTTTACTCCAAATTCATGATAGTAGAACTTGAGATAGGACACAAAAAAGATGGGACTTTTTCTGCACTGTTTTATTTCACTAATAAGTGAAATAACAAAAATACTGAAGCAGTATTTTTTATTAACAAAAAATACTGAAGCAATTATGTCATAGTGTTAACTATCAACAAGAGTACTGAGGAACAGAATCTTGGACTCTTATACAATTGTTTGTACTTCTCAATATTTTCCAAAAAATTGCTCAAAATAAAAGAAGAAATTTTAATTAAGAGTGCTTTGGTAATGCTGTTCCTAGCTACTTACTTCAATTTTATAGGGAAACCACCATTCACTTCTTTATTACTCCCAGTAGAATACAGAAGGACAAAGGACTTTATCTAATTTAGGCTAAATCTTAGCCAAACAGGGGATGAGAAATGTTCCTAATTCTTTATGCTTACTTAATTCACCAACACAAAGGCTTTCCTTTCATAACTATCCCCCGAGTTTACTAAGCTGATGTGGAAGTACACTCTAAGAGTTTAGGCCTCAACTTCCCAGCTCCGTAAGTATTTTGTAAGCTCCCTGTGTCTAAATATTGGTATGACTCTGTTAGCCTTCAAGGTGAGGGGACGGTAGGCAGGCACACTATTTAAAACAATCTTTAAAAAACAAGCAAAAAACTTTGTAAACCCCAAATATATCTTATAATTTTTAATTATTCTCAAAATCATAATTTTGGTGGTGAAAACTAGGATCTATCAATTATGCTTTCTCTCCTTGACCCAAACCAATGATCTGCATGGGGAAAATATGGGGTGGGAAAGGTAGGGAGAGAGATTGCTTGCTTCGGCAAGGAGAACGTAACGTTCCTCAGCAAATAAAACAAACGGCATAGAAGAGTGAGGTGTAATTCTGGACACAGTGGTTACAGGGGGAGCTGGAACAAATAAGGTTGGAAAGGAAGGTTGAAAGTAGATTAAGGATGACAGGGAACATGGCCAAGGGGTCAGAACTCCGCAGTGTGAGCAGGGAGAAGGTATCTAAAGGTCGACAGGGGAGGGGTGCCGACCGGTCTGTGTAGAGACACCCCTACAACGTGACTCTCCCTACTTCCCGGCTTGTCTTCACTGAGACTCTAATGATATGCTTGATCCTTAACTCCTCTCCTTGTTCTGCCCTTTGGTTTTCTGATTCTTCCCACCTGTTCACAGAGACATTTTGTTTATTTCTAGGGACTATGAGCCCCAAGATTTGACTGACTGACTGTTCCTGCCCTGGGCCCATCTAGTCTTTCCACTTTACCTCCACTGTCCTCTGCCAATCACATCCTGGCAAGAGAAAGCCCTACTGGTTTTTCTCTCTTCCTTTCTGTTTGAGGGCTGCAATGGGAGTGGTGTATTGTTTCTTTGGATAAGCATGACCCAAATTCATCATTATTTGAAAGATTGTGTAACTTTTTTGGGTAATGTTTTATCAGCTGAAACTAAACCACTAAGATTTCTAGCTTTTATGTTACACTTTTTGAACAAATTACTTAAAAATGTTGATAATGAATCTGCCATCAAGTAAGCTGACTCTACATTAAATTAAAGCCAGAAAGAGTTTATACTTCTAATTCCTCAAATTTTCTTTTCACGCTTTTTTTTTTCCCTGGAATTACCCCTTCCTGACATTGGTGAACATCTGTTCTCCCAATTATACTCAATTTATGATTGTGATAATGTGGTGCAACTAGAAT